TACTATTCTGTTTCCTATCAGGGACTAAAGCATTTGAAGATTTTGGTATCCACAGATTCTGGTATCCACAGGAGATCCTGCAAGCAATCCCCTTTGGATTCTGAGAAATAACTGTAGTATACTGCTCCTGAAAAAGAAACTTTTTCTGTGTTCAGAAACACAGAAGAGACAGCGTAAAGGCAACATACCCCCTGCAAAAAGATCCCTGGATATTAAATCTGAAGACCAGGCCACCATTTCCTACCTCTGTGACCTTGAGCCTATATATAGAATACTTCCATCTCCCTCATAAGTTTTAATATGAGAGGATTATGTAAGAGGAATTAGTAAAAGATGACATACAAAATGTGAAAGTGCTTGCAATAATACATAGTACATAGCAGGCACTCAATAAATGTTAACAGGTGAACTGAGAGGAGACAAAAACAATCGCTCTTCCCATTTAAAAAAAAAAAAAAAAAGAAGAAGAAGAAGATATAAAACTCTATGTTTTCATGATGAAATTCCCATTAAAAAAAAAAAAAAAAAGGCCTGGAGCAGTGGCTCATGCCTGTAATCCCAGCACTCTGGGAGGCCAAGGTGAGTGGGGGGAATCACAAGGTTAGGCGTTTCAGACCAACTGGTGAAACCCCTTGTCTACTAAAAAAATACAAAAATTAGCCAGGCATGGTGGCGTGCACCTGTAATTCCAGCTACTCAAGAGGCTGAGGCAGGAGAACTGCCTGAACCCAGAGGGTGGAGGTTGCAGCGAGTCAAGATAGTGCCACTGCACTCCAGCCTGAGTGACAGAGCAAGACTCCATCTCCAAAAAAAAGAAAAAACAAAAATAAAAACAAAGAATTTGCCTATGCTGAGTCCTATGCTGCGTTACGCCCTTGACAAACAGACAAGTTTCATTCTTTCTGGGATAGATAGATCTTTCCTCTCCCCAAGATAAAAAAGGTCAGTGAATGAAGCAAGAAGGCTTGGAAATGAGAATCTACATAAAACAGTAGAAACAGATGTTTCCTGGAGTCGGACAGGTATCTCTCAAAGTGGTACAAGGTATTTTGCTACCCATTATAAAAAGAAAGGGAAGAATGGAGCATAGTCCCAAATTTTAATATTGTGCTATACCAACTCACGCCACATGTTTAATTTTTGTTTTTGTTCAAAGCTAACAGTTATGGGGTGCCTCCTCAGCGGCAGGCACTGTTCTACGTGCTTTATACATGTAACTCATTTAATCCTAACAAGCCTATGATATAGTTACTATTATTATCTATTATTATCTCCATTTGGCAGATGAGGAAACTAAGCCACAGCAAAGTTAAGTAACTTGTCTTAGGGCCACACAAGCCATTAAGTTGAGGATCAGAGGCCATGCTAGCTCCAGAACCTGTGCTCTGGCCACACGACCTCTTAGGTACCCTGGCCATTGTAACTGTAACTTACTGAGCGAGTACTTCCTAGGCACATTGTGCCCAGTGTTAGCATTGTATTTCACTTAATGTAATCTTCGAAATAATTTATGAGAATGGTGATATTATTCCTATTTTATAGATAAGGCAACTGAGACACAGAGGCTTAATATAATTATCCATAGTCATGAAGCTAATAAATGGCAGAGTTGGGATTTGATGCCAAATCCCATTACCTTTCCACTATACCTGACTGCCTCCTTTCAAGGACTAGTTTTATCAGAGAAATAAGGTGGCATAAAGAACCTCCCCACTACTCTCCCAAACAATGAACCAGTCTCTCTCTCTCTCCATCATTCATTTCTCTCTATTGGACTCCTCAATGCCCCATAATCACCTCATAATCCAAATATTTCTCAAATCAATGTTTCCAGATAAGGAAACGGAAGTATATGGTACCTAGCTATTTTTTTTTAGAGTTCCAAATTCCACATACCATAGAGCTGGGCAATTTAATTCCACCTCCCCATTCTTACTGCCTGAACCACTATAAACATACATCTACTTTCTATTCATCTGCTCCCAAAATCTCTCCCTTTGACAGGCAAAACCTCACTGCAATATGATGGTCAGCCATTTTCTTTGTACTATAAGCAGCCCTACTATACTGGCCCTACTACAGTCAGTATTAAATATGAAAGCTTTCTGGCCAGGCACAGTGGTTCACACCTATAATCCCAGCATTTTGGGAGGCCAAGGTCAGAGGATTGCTTGAGCCTAGCAGTTTGAGAGCAGCCTGGGCAACATAGTGAGACCCCCATCATTATAAAAAATAAATTTAACAGTTACCCAGGTTCTGTGGCACACACCTGTAGGCCCAGCTACTTGGGAGGGGTGGGGGGAGGAGATGGAAGTTGCAGTGAGTCATGATCACACCAGTGCACTCCAGCCTGGGCGATAAATACAGACCCTGCCTCCAAAAAGATAAAAGAAAGAAAGAAAAAGAAGAGAGCACTTTCTTCTGAAAGAGCTAACTGCCCCAGTTCACATCTAGTCAGAGCACTCTCAGGCTTCCTCCCAAAATTACAAGTGTTTGGGAATCTTTTGAAACACTTCAGGATACCACCTTAAGCAACGCACACACCATGCAAAACACCTTAAAAACATTCCCAATACAAAAGGGGATCTGGAGAAGTTCAGGATTTAAGCTCCGACAGCACCTGGCCAGGAGTGGTAAGCAGATACCAATCTGGAGGGAGACCAACAAGAGATAAATTGGAGGAAGCAAATCTGATGTCTATTTAGTTTAGCCATAAAGGGAAGGGGAAATATTAAAGAAGGTGATTATATTCAGTTGAAGGTCTTTCTTCCTCCCCTACAGAAACAAATTCCTATTAATTGCTGGGTATCTGGCATATAATAAATGCTAAATAAACATTGGCTGATTGAACAAATTGCCAAGTTCTCTTGCATTTCTTGCTTCTGAAAATCAGTTTGGAGCTGCCTCGTATCTTTTCTGGAAAGCAGTAATAAATCGGGTTAAATCATTATAATTTCCACAATATGCATTAAATGAGTTATTCCTAAATTAGGCAGACATGTTCAACAGTAAAGCATATCGGAAAGTGAAAGAGCTAAGATATGAATATATAGAACCTGTGTATCCTCCCAAGGAAAGCAACACAGTACTGTAGAAAGAGCGCTGTACTTGGAGTTGGACAACCTAAATTCAAATCTCTGCTCCATCTCTCAGTAGCTGTGTGGACTTGGGACCACATTATTATCCTAAATTTTATCATTTGTGAATTGGGGAATACCATCACTCTCCTCACAGGCTTGTTGGTAAGATTAAATGGGAATTAAGCCGCCAGTATGCCATTTCTGCCCTGGGTAGAAAAGATTCAAAAAATAAGACACAAATTGTCAATAATACAAAGTGTATGGATGCAGTGGTGGGCACAAAGCAAACACTGAAGGGGAGATTATGTACGGAGGCAAAAGAAAGAAAAACATTACAGCTAGGTTGTGACTTGGTGTTGGGTGTGTTTCACAGAAGGGAGTCGTCAGTCACTACTATAAAGGAGTCTTCTAAACCAAAGGATAAAGGTGTGGTAGGCTATCTTTTGAAGTGAGCATGTAAAATTCCTGGAAGGAAAAGTAATGAAGAGCTAACGGTTCTTGGAAAGAGGTTCAGAGAACTGACGGATTTATAACAAGATACTCTTTTACAGCAGTTGTAAAGTGGAAGGAACTAAACTGGAATACGAGCTCCAAGCATGACCTTGGGCAAGTTATTTAACCAATCTAAAGTCTCAATTGCAAAATGCAGATAATACCTCACGGAATTGCTCTAAGATTAAATGAGATAATGGACAGCAAAACTGTTAATGCGATACGAATAATAGGTATCATTAGGAGTTACATTGTCCACCCACTTACAACATAATACGTCCATGACCTTGGGCGTGATTTCAGCTCTTTGCACCTCGGTTTTCTCATCTATAAAATGGGGAGGATGAGACCATCTACCCTATAAACACTATGAGGATCAAAGGAGACCATAGATGAAACATCAATGCCTCGAAAACCGTACCGTGATAAAGGTATAGAAAAAACTGCCACCGTCGCTATACATTTTATGCATGTCAAGGGATGTGTTTATGCAAGGAAGCACGTATTTTTATGCTATACAGGTGAGGAAGCCTCGCATCCATTTATGCATCCAGGAGTGTGGCATGGGGCACAGATGCACATCTACGGATTCCTGGGGTGTGACTTGCACGCTTGAGAGGAGGGCCGGAGGTCAAGCTGCTGGGCCAGGAATCAGAGGAGTGGGCGCTAGAGTGGGTGTAGTGGGATGCAGGATACACGGATGGAAAAGGCTGGGGGCACAAACACGCATGCCCAAGCCGGAAACGTTTTCGTGGAAGAGCAATGCGCATCCCCGGAATGAGGGGGGTGGGGAAGGATGCGATGTGCAAGCACGGAGGGCGGCCCGGGGGTGCGATATCGCACGCCCGGGGCCAGGACTCTTTACCTTGTCGCTGTAATCCCTCAGGACCCGCTCGATAGCCCCCGCTTCGCCGGCCCGGACGATATAGAGGGCGCGCTCCTCATCCATGGCCGCAGGTGCGGGGGAGCCGCGGCCGCTCTGCGCGCCCAAGCCGCTGCCTCCAGGTAAACGCCTCGCGCCCCCGCTCGCTCGCTCCTTCCCAGCTTCCTTCCTTCCCTCTTTTCCCTCCCTCCCTCCTGCCTCCAACCCGCCAGCCTCCGCCCGGGCCGGCCGTACGTCACGCCCCTCAACTTTCACCCCGCGACGTCACCGCTCCCCCAACAACCGGCGCCTCACGGCCGCCCCCGACCAGGCCCAGGACTAGGTCGAGGCCTGGCGAGCGGACCGAGCCGGAGTCAGGCTCGAAGCTCTGCTTGCTCTCCTGCCTCTCCCTCCCTCGGTAAAGTGTCTAGTCTTTTGAGGGGGCTTTCACAGACTGAGCCGTTCTTTCCTGACCCTCCTCTATGAATCATTCTCGGCGGACAAGAGCAACCCTTCTCTTCTCCGCCCATCTATGAACCAGCAGCCAAATGGACTACAATTCCCTGCATGCAATGGGGTTATCCCGCTCTTCCATCTGATTTACTGGAGTGCCAATGGCATGCTGGGATTAGTAGTCATCCAGACGGAAAGACTTCCCTCCAAGGGCATGCTGGGAACTGTGGTACGGCGAGGGCCGGAAATGGGAGTCTGGCGGCCGCCTGAGACCAGCGGCGGGGAGACCGTTAGAGGGAGGGTCTAAGCCTGTGCCTTGGTTTTGTTCCTTAGGCTGCTGAATGTCCTGCTCCAGCCTCGGCTGGTTGGGCTGGCTGGACTGGCTGATGGTCGCGGAAGCTGCCACCCCTTGGTGGGAACTGTCAAGCACCGGTTTAATTCCCTTTTCTCATTTAGCGGTTTCGGTCTCGGAAATTCCTTCCACTCTTGTTTGCATTCTTATTATGTACTCAGCTACAGTAACATGGGAAATAATCTAAGGCAGTTATCTGGATAAAAGAGGACTTGGCGATTTTTTTTTTTTTTTTGGCTTAATACTAATCTTTAGCATACATTTCGTGCACCGGGCTCCAGACTTTCTTAGGTAATTTCCCTATATTGTCCAATTCTCGACACAAATTTTTGTGAAAACAAAAAGGAACCCGAATAGTTTAATTTATCTTAAGTCATACGGCCAGGGAATGGGAAAGTCGTGGTTTGAAACCAGGCCTCCCCCATCCCCCATTCCCCACCCCCACCCCGAAGCGGCTGCTCTAAGACAAGGAATTGTAATAATACTGATACAGTAGCTGTGGTGGTGATGATAAAGGTTCTCATTGTCCCAGTGGTAATTACGTGCCAGGCGCTCTGTTAATACTTCACCTATGTTAGCTCAATCAACTTCATACACATTCATTCAACAAATATTTCAGAGCCTGTGCTGTGCCCAGGCACTGTTCAATGCAGTGTGGATACAGTGGGCCCAAAATAAAGTCCCTGCCTTCGTGGAGTTTCCATTATAGTGAGCACCCACATGAGTTATTCTCATTAAGATGAAGAAACTAAGTCTTGGAGAGGTTAATTGGTTAATTTATCGAAATTGCAGATTTGTGGAAACTGAATTTGAACTCAGAGCCCGTTCTCTTTCTGCTCTCTCAAGCTTGAGTTGATGGAGAGTGGATGAATTCTCCAAGTAACTCCAAGTTTTTCATTCCAAGCAGCCTTTATCAGTAATCATCCTTGATGCCTCTCTTACCAGTCTCTCCTTCCTGAGCTGTGCTGAAGAGAAACTAGAAGGGGCAAAAGTTTATTCATCTAATAATTGAATTTCTTCTATGTTGCTAGATATTCTGCTAGATGCTGGGAATTTGGAGATAAGAATAAATGGGACTTGAGTTTATGGATCTTTTGGTCTTTCTGTGGATTATACTTTCCATGCAGCAAACATTTATTGAGCATATTCGTTGAGTCAGGCATTGGAACAGGTGCTCTGTAATTAAGTCAGAAAGATTTTAATCCATATTTCCAAAAAGCACATTTTAATAAGGTCTTGGAATAGTTAGCTGAATTCCTAAGGTAATAGTAACATCTTCCAATTGTTTTTAACAGTTTACAGAACATTTTAATACTCGTTATCTCAATGGATCATTGGGGAAGGTATTTTTCCCACTTTATAGATAAGAAAATAGGCTCAGACAAGTTAAGTAACAAGAACTGGGACTCAAACTGAGAGCTGTTAACAAAGTATTTGGGTACCTACTCTGTGTCCAGTACAATATTAAGTGCTTTGGGGGTAACCATATATTTATTTTTGGAGCAAGGGTCTCCCAGAGAGGATATTAAACAAGCACAAAGTATTTTATTTCCGTAGAGACGTTTCTCTTTAGAATCCTTTTAGGTCTCTGACATTTCAGGCACATGTCTTTGAAATGTCTGTTTGCCAGAAATAGGCTATGTTTTTAGGCTCCAATTCTGTACTTCTAAAAAGAGATTTAAAAAATGTAAAACCACATGAATTAGCGACTTGAGAAGTTGTACTTTAGTAATTTTAATTAAATGTTAGTATTCTGATTTTATAACTCAAAGGAATCTTTGACTCTAATTCAAGTCATCTTTTGACCACTGACGAGACTCTGGTTCCAGAAAAATTAAGTGGCTTGTCCAAGGTCAATAGCTACAAGCAGACTCTGGGAATGGAGTCTAGACCAACTGAGTCGTAGGTTACTACATCACTTTACCTCCTTGAACATTAGTTATGGGATACTTTCAGGGACTAGAGACTCTAGTGCTGTTTCAACTCCACTTCCTGGTGATGCTTGGGTTGCATGATAGCAAGGAATTAAGATTTAGAGCCTTGGTAATCAAAGCAACAAATATTTATTCACGAGTTGTTGCTCTTAGAAACAGTAATATAGTAATCCTATACATATTTATGTACAGAGCTTTTAAATTCTGAAAATATCTCCATGTAGATTATTTGATTTAATTCTTGTAATAGCTGACATCGTAAGATCAATAAGACAGGCACTGTCTTCTTTTTTACAGAGAAAAGGGAAGTTCAGGGTATTGATTAGCTGGCTTGTAAACAAAGAAGTTTGCTAATAAGTGGTATGGTTAAGGGCTAGAAGTGCCCTGGCCTCTGATAACATAAAATGTTATGGACTTTCAGGTTAGGGCCAATGAAAAAGCCTGCAAATAGATACTAGTCATTTATTTTGGACTTTGATATCCTGCTGTGGCATTTCCTCTTGCCATGACAATGGGCTAGTTGGTATGTGCCAAATTGAAGGTCTTTAATGAGTACCTGGTGCTAACAGCTTTAAAATTCAACTGTTCCGTATGTAATACTTTTAATACATTTTCTTTAGAAGAAAGCAGAAATTTAAAGCCTTAGCATCTTGGTCTATTGGCTATAGCTCCAGAATTGGAGCTCAGAGAATTCCACTAATTCAAGATATGACTTGTCACTCAGCAACCACCACCTCACTATATGAAGCCACTCACTCAACCTTTTTTGAGGTTTAGAAAATTAGAACTGAAATAATATCTGGATTAATCCCACAGTGTCCTTAGCTGCTAAACTAAGGGATTGATCTAGATATTATTTCAGTTCTAAATTTTTCAGTTCTAAAATTTTGTGATTCTCAGAAAAACAAAACCACCTTTAAATATGCTCATTCTTTAGAAAAACCTATTAATAAGAGTGGGGGTGTGAAAATCAATATGTGCAAATCAGATATCAGTATATGTGCAAATCATTCCTTGGGCATACCTCCAAAGATTCTGATTCAGTTGATCTGTGGTAAAGTCTGGATACTGGTAGTTTTAAAAGCTTCTCAGTTGATTTGAATAAGCACCTAGTTTTGAGAACCACTGGATCAATATTTTGGTAGAGTATCTACGATTGAACTGGTTTTTTGATAGACCCCCAAACTCATGTGCATGTAACTCATTAGTCTTTGAGAAGTAACCTGGCATTGTGAAAGCTATTTCATTTTTTACCAAGAATACAGTCTCAACCAGGTGCGGTGGCTCACGCCTGTAATCCAAGCACTTCAGAAAGCCAAGGTGGGCAGATCACTTGAGAAGTTCAAGACCAGCCTGGCCAAAATGTTGAATCCCCATTTCTACTAAAAATACAAAAATTAGCTGGGCGTGGTGGTGCATGCCTGTAATCCCAGCTACTTGGGAGGCTGAGGCCAGAGAATCGCTTGAACTCGGAAGGCACAAGTTGCAGTGAGCCAAGATTGTGCCATTGCACTCCAGTCTGGGCAACAGACTCTGTCTCAAAAAAAAAAAAAGAAAGGGAAAAAAATGAATGCAGTCTACCTTTTATAGCAAAGTTAACATAGTTTGATCCTTTAACATATTTAGTGCTCACTGGAGCACAGCATTGTCTTAGATATCATAAAAAAATTTTTTTAAGTATAAATAATTAATTCTGTCGTTTGGGGTTATAAGAAACAACCAAACAATAAACTAATCTTTTTTACTGATAGGAAAGAACAAATTGAGCATAGTACTGCACACATCAAAGGAAAATAAGCATTAATGGGAAGGAGAGTATTCAGAATACCCTTCTTGAAGGAGGTGATCTACAGAGGGATGGTGGAAAGAACATAGAGGGCTCCCAGACAGAGGGAAATGCTGTGAGAAAAGGTCAGGAGGCCAAAATTAACAAGAAGCTTGTTGAGAAATGATACCAACTTGGTTGAACTTGGAAGCCAGCAATGGAGATTTCTTAGAGGTCAGTTTGGTCAGTGGGAAAGGAAAAGTTAAATGTGAAAGGTGTTTCATAATCAATGATGACTCTATAACCAGCCAGTCCAACTTCAACTTACAACATATCGCATTCCTGAAAATGTTACCTTACAATGCTGTGTGACATAAAATTAAATAGAATTGGGAGACAGGAGAGGGGAGGGTCTGTTGCTGATTGTCTTCAGATCTTTAAGCACATTATTTTATCTCTGGATCTCATAATATTAGAGTTAGACTAGATGACTTCAAGGTTTTTTTTTTTAACTCTTAAAATTTTACTTGATTCAGCCTTTCAGCACCCTTATGAGGTTCCTCAGTAATATTCGCTGTATTCTGATTGCTTAAATTGAGCCCATGCCGTTAGTCCTTGGCAAATATCCCTCTAGTTGTTTAATATTGATTGACTACCCACAGTGGGACTCTTAGATTAAGCACACAAAATAGGCTCTGCCCTTTAGGAGTTTTTATTTATCCAAGAGCAGGAATGTGGGTCAGACCTATTTGCATCTCGCTGACTTGGAATCCCATCCAAACACCTCTTGGGAAAACCCAGCACTTTGGGTGGCAATGCTGTAATGTGGTGAAAGAACTCGGACTGAGAATTGGAAAACCTGGTTTTTAGTCCTGACTCACTGTGTGAGTCTCAGAAGCCGATCGTTTGTCAAATTCCTTGAAACCCTTCTGGCAACCGTTTTTTTGTTTTTTTTTTTTTTTGATCTAACAGGAAAACCTGAAAGCCAAAAGACTTCTAGTTTGAATTTTAACTCTGGGTGTTCAGGGATAAATCACTTGCCCTCTTTGAGCACCGATTTTTCTCAACTGTAATGAGCATAATTATACCTACTTTGCAGTAGGTTGGAAGGGTTAAAAGAGATGGCTGTCAAAGTGGC